TTCTCCGGAAGAAAACTCCTGTAGCTCTTTCTCCTTTTCTTTGGTTTCACACTAGGCTGCAAGGCAGAGTCCTGGGCAGCCTTCCCCTCGTCCGTTCGGTCTCTGGCCAGGTCTCCCCCCCTGGCTTGGCCTGTGCTCTCCGAGTCTGAGTACTGTTGGAGATCACCGGCGGCGCTGGGCGTCGAGGTTGTGAACTCTGACTCGTCCAGCTCCTCCTTCCCATCGAGTGCCGAGTCGGAAAGTTCGGCGGCCGCCCCCTGCTCCGAGCTGCTGCCGTACTCCCCTGGCGATCCCGCGTTGTCTCCTGGGCTCTCGGCCAGGGTGCCGCAGGCAGAGAGGAGGGAGGCAGAATCCGCCCCGTTGGCCTGTTCGTGGCTCCGCTCCACCAGCTCGTTCGTCTCCAGCCAGGACTCGATGCGGGACACCAGGCGCCAGCCGTTGCAGCGAAAATGCTCGCGGATTTCGTGCTCAAAGACTTCCACTGGCCTGCGCAGCAGCTGCATCATGGACTGCACCACCCGGATCAGGGTCATCTCATTGTAGCAGCGACTGTTCTCATAGCCCTCCTGGAGGCCCCGGTCGCTGTCAAAGCCCGCCTCGTTGTAGTAGGGCTCATTCACTAGGATGAGACCTGCCAAGAGAAGGGGAGACCAAGGGGTTAAGGGAGGAACTTTACTGTGAATCGCCATCCCAGGCAGGCACTGCTGGGCCCTCATCTCTGCCAAGGTGGCTGAGGTTCGAGGGTCACAGCACCACCTCGCCGAGGCACCACGCCAGCTTCACCCGCAGCCACGCCGACGCAGGCAGCCCGAGGCTGGCAGCGCGGGGAAGGGACCACAGGAGCGGCTGTGCTTTGACTTCGAGCGGGTGGCAGAGGCCAGGTTGGACAGCCAGGAACCTGCAAGACGCACTGGACTGGTATCGCAAGGGGAGCACTCGTGCGAATGGGTCTGTGGCCTTTGCTAGGGCGGTGGGGATCTCAGACACTACCGAGAGTGGCGTTCAAGATCCTTGGCTGGCAAGAACGGTTTGCCACCAGCGTGGTGCAGAGAGCACACAACAGCAGAGTAGGTCAAAAGGTTTCACAGCTCCCTTCCCTTCCCTCCCCTCCTAGCAAGAAAACCACAAAGACACCCAAAGCTTTTTTTTTTTTTCTTAAATAGTTTTTTTTCCTTCCTCCTCTTAATCAGAACAAAGGCCAACCTTCAGTAACAGGCTTTGAGCTGGCCAGGTCCTATCCTATCCAGCACAGTCCCACCAGACAGTGTGGTTCTCAGACAGTGAATGCTGTGACAAGTCATCCACACCAAGCTTTCTCCTGCTTGCTTCTGGTCTAATGTAATTACACACATGTAGCAATGGCACCAGCACTGCCAAGCTGCTGGCAGCCTGCCACAAACTGCATTAGAGCTGGTGCAGGTGAGGCTGTGAACCTCTCAAAGCCCAGAGAACAGGAGGGGGAGAGGAGGTTTTTCACTAGCACCAAGTTGCTCCAGTAAAACATTTAGTACTTTGTTTTCTAAATTTGGATCTGCAGCTTTGCAAAAAAGAAAAGGCTTTTCTCGTGGTGCCGCTCCCCCCTGGGAGGATACAGGTGGGCTGTGAGACTTGGAGGAGCAGGAGTCGCCTGCTGACTCAAGGCAGGAGCCCTTGCTCTGGGTCAAAGGTTTCTCAAGTCACATGCCTGGGCTCCCTGCACAGAAACTTGGCCTTGAGGAAGAGATTTGATTTAGTCTGTCTGCTTTCAAACTAGATATGGCAGGGCAAAGCCCTATGTCAGGAAGCCCTGGGGCTGGTCTAGACACACCCCTGGTTCTCTGCTTCAGAAGGAGCATAAACACCATCATCGTGTGCAAAAACATGCCCGATGCCTACATCGGGTGACTCAGTGGGGATAAAAACAGTCCTGAGAATGAAGCCCAGTTTAGCAGCTTCAGCTAACTTCAGTAACTGGCTGAGGACACAGTGGCTCACCTTTGTCAGCTCAGAATAACAAGCGAAACAGCTCTGAGCTTAGCTGCCACAGTGAGAAGAAGGGAAACCATTCTGTCAGAGACCTGGGATGCAGCCAAAAATCAGGGCATGAAAAAGCTTGCACCTGCTTTGACTGCTGAACTGGAGAGATAAGGACACTGCTTTGTCCAGCAAGGTGAGAGCAGAAGGCAGCACTGACCCAGCTGGGATGGCAGATCCCAATTGTGTGCCCCCCCGTAAGCCTGCATCCCCTCCTCCCTCCGCCTCCTCCTGTCCCCAGGCTCTGCAGAAGCATTTACCTTGGATGGAGATGAGTACTTGAAGGAGGCTGGATTTACTGGTCCACCTTTCTGTGCCCTGAAATGCACATACAAATGCGTTACAGGGCTGAAGCACCACCAGTTTGCTCTGTGATAACTGTTAGATGCAGTGCGGCCCCAGTTTCTCTGCACCCCTCTCGCTAAGGTCCTGCGGCCCGCAGCAGGAACACGGGACCGACTCGACAAGCACGGGATGTGCTAGTGTCCCATTGTACCAACCCACCTCTCCGTTACTTTTTGCCGGCACTGCACCCCATCAGGCCAGTTCTGCCTGGAACGCTGTAACCCTGCACACCAGACACCAGTTCCAGCCCCGCCCCAGCTGCCCTGTCCGTCTGCCTGCCGAAACACAGCATTTCCCTGGCTCTGTTTGCTCCAAGTCTCCAGCTGGACTTTGTGCCGCACTAGGTGATTTGTCTGCCACATGGGAGGCAGGGACCCAAACCACGGGAGAGCACCCCGTGCTGGTGTTGGCATCTCTGCTCTGTCCCACCATGACGCAGCCCAGCAGGTCTGACCACAGGCTTCTCATCAAGGAAGGACAGACAAGAGCCTTACACAGTCCCAGAAGAAGCCAAACTACACCAGTTACCAGCTCCAGACACCTAAACCAGAGCCCAAAGCCAGAACTATCCCCAGCTCAAGCACCACCTGAGACCAGAAGCCACCCAGGACTCTTGGCCTGGTAGAAAGCGCCTTGTTCCCAAAGCGGCCTGGCACAACCACCGCTCCCCACGGGCGGGCAGATGAAAGCATTACCTTGCCTATCCACGTCCCCAGGAGGCTGACACACACTTTGCCGTTGTCGTACAGGTTGGGATTCAGTCTCCCACTGCACTGGGAGAGGTAGCGGAAGAGAGGCGGGACAGCAGGGTAGATGTTGGGGAGCTGGATATCGAAGAGAAAGAGGCCATCTTCATAGGGCGTGCGCGTGGGCCCTTTTATAAGTGCTGAGAAGAGATCCTGTGGAGAGAGGCAATATAAGTCAGGCACTGTGAAAAGTCCTCTTACCTTGGCAGGGTTGTATTTACGTAGAGGGAGAG